TTCCATAATGACTTCGGTATATGTCAACTTGTCTCACTGGAGATTGGTGTGAGGAGACATATGTGGCTCTGCGGTTGAAATGAGTCTACACTTATATTCGGCATGTTACTGGCCATGACGCACGGTCAGCAAGGAGGAAGTATTTGATCAGTCAAGCGATTAAAGTGGTATTGATTTGAAACAAATGTGTCTTTTAAAACGACGTTAAGTGTCAGGACCCGTGATAGCTCAGTTGGTAGAGCGGAGGACTGTAGTGGCAAAGCTGTAATTGGCAATCCTTAGGTCGCTGGTTCAAATCCGGCTCGCGGGACAACCTTTTGCTATTAATAACCAAATTTAATACCAAAATGTTCATGCCACTATTGACGCATTAAGACAGATAAGTATCTTCCAGAATGCACTCAATGAATGGATGTCTGCTATTAACCCGAAAGAACGCCAAATGCAAGTAAAATTAATAGCTTAAGAAAAGGGCTTGATTGGAGGGAGGAAAAAAGTGTGTCAGGAGTGGGATTTGAACCCACGCCCACATTCGTGGACCAGAACACCCGTATCTCCACTATGGGAGAAGGCCTGATGCAATACCTTGAGTCTGGCGCCTTAGACCGCTCAGCCATCCTGACAACGATGTTAAAAGTCATATCTTGACGCTTTTATAGTCACCCATGTATTCGTTGCCATTGATTTGATGTTGATACTCCCCACATCCCTGCATATATTGGGGATAGAGTTTGAGCTATTAATTTCATTCCATCTGCGTTCTTGCCTCCTTCAAGCTTCTTATTTTCAATGCAACTGGTGTAATGGATGTACTCTTCATGTAACTCTCAATTGTCACGACGTTTTGACTTGCTGAGTAGTCTGCACACATTTCAGCGAATAATAATGCTGAACATTCAGGTTTTCGTCACATGCATAACTGAGCATGTTTGTGAGGATTAGGCTCTTTGCTTACAGATTCCATAATGACTTCGGTATATGTCAACTTGTCTCACTGGAGATTGGTGTGAGGAGACATATGTGGCTCTGCGGTTGAAATGAGTCTACACTTATATTCGGCATGTTACTGGCCACGACGCACGGTCAGCAAGGAGGAAGTATTTGATCAGTCAAGCGATTAAAGTGGTATTGATTTGAAACAAATGTGTCTTTTAAAACGACGTTAAGTGTCAGGACCCGTGATAGCTCAGTTGGTAGAGCGGAGGACTGTAGTAGCAAAGCTGTAATTGGCAATCCTTAGGTCGCTGGTTCAAATCCGGCTCGCGGGACAACCTTTTGCTATTAATAACCAAATTTAATACCAAAATGTTCATGCCACTATTGACGCATTAAGACAGATAAGTATCTTCCAGAATGCACTCAATGAATGGATGTCTGCTATTAACCCGAAAGAACGCCAAATGCAAGTAAAATTAATAGCTTAAGAAAGGGCTTGATTGGAGGGAGGAAAAAAGTGTGTCAGGAGTGGGATTTGAACCCACGCCCACATTCGTGGACCAGAACACCCGTATCTCCACTATGGGAGAAGGCCTGATGCAATACCTTGAGTCTGGCGCCTTAGACCGCTCGGCCATCCTGACAACGATGTTAAAGTCATATCTTGACGCTTTTATAGTCACCCATGTATTCGTTGCCATTGATTTGATGTTGATACTGCCCCACATCCCTGCATATATTGGGGATAGAGTTTGAGCTATTAATTTCATTCCATCTGCGTTCTTGCCTCCTTCAAGCTTCTTATTTTCAATGCAACTGGTGTAATGGATGTACTCTTCATGTAACTCTCAATTGTCACGACGTTTTGACTTGCTGAGTAGTCTGCACACATTTCAGCGAATAATAATGCTGAACATTCAGGTTTTCGTCACATGCATAACTGAGCATGTTTGTGAGGATTAGGCTCTTTGCTTACAGATTCCATAATGACTTCGGTATATGTCAACTTGTCTCACTGGAGATTGGTGTGAGGAGACATATGTGGCTCTGCGGTTGAAATGAGTCTACACTTATATTCGGCATGTTACTGGCCACGACGCACGGTCAGCAAGGAGGAAGTATTTGATCAGTCAAGCGATTAAAGTGGTATTGATTTGAAACAAATGTGTCTTTTAAAACGACGTTAAGTGTCAGGACCCGTGATAGCTCAGTTGGTAGAGCGGAGGACTGTAGTGGCAAAGCTGTAATTGGCAATCCTTAGGTCGCTGGTTCAAATCCGGCTCATGGGACAACCTTTTGCTATTAATAACCAAATTTAATACCAAAATGTTCATGCCACTATTGACGCATTAAGACAGATAAGTATCTTCCAGAATGCACTCAATGAATGGATGTCTGCTATTAACCCGAAAGAACGCCAAATGCAAGTAAAATTAATAGCTTAAGAAAGGGCTTGATTGGAGGGAGGAAAAAAGTGTGTCAGGAGTGGGATTTGAACCCACGCCCACATTCGTGGACCAGAACACCCGTATCTCCACTATGGGAGAAGGCCTGATGCAATACCTTGAGTCTGGCGCCTTAGACCGCTCGGCCATCCTGACAACGATGTTAAAAGTCATATCTTGACGCTTTTATAGTCACCCATGTATTCGTTGCCATTGATTTGATGTTGATACTGCCCCACATCCCTGCATATATTGGGGATAGAGTTTGAGCTATTAATTTCATTCCATCTGCGTTCTTGCCTCCTTCAAGCTTCTTATTTTCAATGCAACTGGTGTAATGGATGTACTCTTCATGTAACTCTCAATTGTCACGACGTTTTGACTTGCTGAGTAGTCTGCACACATTTCAGCGAATAATAATGCTGAACATTCAGGTTTTCGTCACATGCATAACTGAGCATGTTTGTGAGGATTAGGCTCTTTGCTTACAGATTCCATAATGACTTCGGTATATGTCAACTTGTCTCACTGGAGATTGGTGTGAGGAGACATATGTGGCTCTGCAGTTGAAATGAGTCTACACTTATATTCGGCATGTTACTGGCCACGACGCACGGTCAGCAAGGAGGAAGTATTTGATCAGTCAAGCGATTAAAGTGGTATTGATTTGAAACAAATGTGTCTTTTAAAACGACGTTAAGTGTCAGGACCCGTGATAGCTCAGTTGGTAGAGCGGAGGACTGTAATTAGCAAAGCTGTAATTGGCAATCCTTAGGTCGCTGGTTCAAATCCGGCTCATGGGACAACCTTTTGCTATTAATAACCAAATTTAATACCAAAATGTTCATGCCACTATTGACGCATTAAGACAGATAAGTATCTTCCAGAATGCACTCAATGAATGGATGTCTGCTATTAACCCGAAAGAACGCCAAATGCAAGTAAAATTAATAGCTTAAGAAAGGGCTTGATTGGAGGGAGGAAAAAAGTGTGTCAGGAGTGGGATTTGAACCCACGCCCACATTCGTGGACCAGAACACCCGTATCTCCACTATGGGAGAAGGCCTGATGCAATACCTTGAGTCTGGCGCCTTAGACCGCTCGGCCATCCTGACAACGATGTTAAAAGTCATATCTTGACGCTTTTATAGTCACCCATGTATTCGTTGCCATTGATTTGATGTTGATACTCCCCCACATCCCTGCATATATTGGGGATAGAGTTTGAGCTATTAATTTCATTCCATCTGCGTTCTTGCCTCCTTCAAGCTTCTTATTTTCAATGCAACTGGTGTAATGGATGCACTCTTCATGTAACTCTCAATTGTCACGACGTTTTGACTTGCTGAGTAGTCTGCACACATTTCAGCGAATGATAATGCTGAATATTCAGGTTTTCGTCACATGCATAACTGAGGATGTTTGTGAGGATTAGGCTCTTTGCTTACAGATTCCATAATGACTTCGGTATATGTCAACTTGTCTCACTGGAGATTGGTGTGAGGAGACATATGTGGCTCTGCAGTTGAAATGAGTCTACACTTATATTCGGCATGTTACTGGCCACGACGCACGGTCAGCAAGGAGGAAGTATTTGATCAGTCAAGCGATTAAAGTGGTATTGATTTGAAACAAATGTGTCTTTTAAAACGACGATAAGTGTCAGGACCCGTGATAGCTCAGTTGGTAGAGCGGAGGACTGTAGTAGCAAAGCTGTAATTGGCAATCCTTAGGTCGCTGGTTCAAATCCGGCTCGCGGGACAACCTTTTGCTATTAATAACCAAATTTAATACCAAAATGTTCATGCCACTATTGACGCATTAAGACAGATAAGTATCTTCCAGAATGCACTCAATGAATGGATGTCTGCTATTAACCCGAAAGAACGCCAAATGCAAGTAAAATTAATAGCTTAAGAAAGGGCTTGATTGGAGGGGGAAAAAAAAGTGTGTCAGGGTGGGATTTGAACCCACGCCCACATTCGTGGACCAGAACACCCGTATCTCCACTATGGGAGAAGGCCTGATGCAATACCTTGAGTCTGGCGCCTTAGACCGCTCGGCCATCCTGACAACGATGTTAAAAGTCATATCTTGACGCTTTTATAGTCACCCATGTATTCGTTGCCATTGATTTGATGTTGATACTCCCCCACATCCCTGCATATATTGGGGATAGAGTTTGAGCTATTAATTTCATTCCATCTGCGTTCTTGCCTCCTTCAAGCTTCTTATTTTCAATGCAACTGGTGTAATGGATGCACTCTTCATGTAACTCTCAATTGTCACGACGTTTTGACTTGCTGAGTAGTCTGCACACATTTCAGCGAATGATAATGCTGAATATTCAGGTTTTCGTCACATGCATAACTGAGGATGTTTGTGAGGATTAGGCTCTTTGCTTACAGATTCCATAATGACTTCGGTATATGTCAACTTGTCTCACTGGAGATTGGTGTGAGGAGACATATGTGGCTCTGCGGTTGAAATGAGTCTACACTTATATTCGGCATGTTACTGGCCACGACGCACGGTCAGCAAGGAGGAAGTATTTGATCAGTCAAGCGATTAAAGTGGTATTGATTTGAAACAAATGTGTCTTTTAAAACGACGATAAGTGTCAGGACCCGTGATAGCTCAGTTGGTAGAGCGGAGGACTGTAGTGGCAAAGCTGTAATTGGCAATCCTTAGGTCGCTGGTTCAAATCCGGCTCTGGGACAACCTTTTGCTATTAATAACCAAATTTAATACCAAAATGTTCATGCCACTATTGACGCATTAAGACAGATAAGTATCTTCCAGAATGCACTCAATGAATGGATGCCTGCTATTAACCCGAAAAGAACGCCAAATGCAAGTAAAATTAATAGCTTAAGAAAAGGGCTTGATTGGAGGGAGGAAAAAAAGTGTGTCAGGAGTGGGATTTGAACCCACGCCCACATTCGTGGACCAGAACACCCGTATCTCCACTATGGGAGAAGGCCTGATGCAATACCTTGAGTCTGGCGCCTTAGACCCGCTCGGCCATCCTGACAACGATGTTAAAAGTCATATCTTGACGCTTTTATAGTCACCCATGTATTCGTTGCCATTGATTTGATGTTGATACTCCCCCACATCCCTGCATATATTGGGGATAGAGTTTGAGCTATTAATTTCATTCCATCTGCGTTCTTGCCTCCTTCAAGCTTCTTATTTTCAATGCAACTGGTGTAATGGATGCACTCTTCATGTAACTCTCAATTGTCACGACGTTTTGACTTGCTGAGTAGTCTGCACACATTTCAGCGAATGATAATGCTGAATATTCAGGTTTTCGTCACATGCATAACTGAGGATGTTTGTGAGGATTAGGCTCTTTGCTTACAGATTCCATAATGACTTCGGTATATGTCAACTTGTCTCACTGGAGATTGGTGTGAGGAGACATATGTGGCTCTGCGGTTGAAATGAGTCTACACTTATATTCGGCATGTTACTGGCCACGACGCACGGTCAGCAAGGAGGAAGTATTTGATCAGTCAAGCGATTAAAGTGGTATTGATTTGAAACAAATGTGTCTTTTAAAACGACGATAAGTGTCAGGACCCGTGATAGCTCAGTTGGTAGAGCGGAGGACTGTAGTGGCAAAGCTGTAATTGGCAATCCTTAGGTAGCTGGTTCAAATCCGGCTCGCGGGACAACCTTTTGCTATTAATAACCAAATTTAATACCAAAATGTTCATGCCACTATTGACGCATTAAGACAGATAAGTATCTTCCAGAATGCACTCAATGAATGGATGCCTGCTATTAACCCGAAAGAACGCCAAATGCAAGTAAAATTAATAGCTTAAGAAAAGGGCTTGATTGGAGGGAGGAAAAAGTGTGTCAGGAGTGGGATTTGAACCCACGCCCACATTCGTGGACCAGAACACCCGTATCTCCACTATGGGAGAAGGCCTGATGCAATACCTTGAGTCTGGCGCCTTAGACCGCTCGGCCATCCTGACAACGATGTTAAAAGTCATATCTTGACGCTTTTATAGTCACCCATGTATTCGTTGCCATTGATTTGATGTTGATACTCCCCCACATCCCTGCATATATTGGGGATAGAGTTTGAGCTATTAATTTCATTCCATCTGCGTTCTTGCCTCCTTCAAGCTTCTTATTTTCAATGCAACTGGTGTAATGGATGCACTCTTCATGTAACTCTCAATTGTCACGACGTTTTGACTTGCTGAGTAGTCTGCACACATTTCAGCGAATGATAATGCTGAATATTCAGGTTTTCGTCACATGCATAACTGAGGATGTTTGTGAGGATTAGGCTCTTTGCTTACAGATTCCATAATGACTTCGGTATATGTCAACTTGTCTCACTGGAGATTGGTGTGAGGAGACATATGTGGCTCTGCGGTTGAAATGAGTCTACACTTATATTCGGCATGTTACTGGCCACGACGCACGGTCAGCAAGGAGGAAGTATTTGATCAGTCAAGCGATTAAAGTGGTATTGATTTGAAACAAATGTGTCTTTTAAAACGACGATAAGTGTCAGGACCCGTGATAGCTCAGTTGGTAGAGCGGAGGACTGTAGTGGCAAAGCTGTAATTGGCAATCCTTAGGTCGCTGGTTCAAATCCGGCTCATGCGGGACAACCTTTTGCTATTAATAACCAAATTTAATACCAAAATGTTCATGCCACTATTGACGCATTAAGACAGATAAGTATCTTCCAGAATGCACTCAATGAATGGATGCCTGCTATTAACCCGAAAGAACGCCAAATGCAAGTAAAATTAATAGCTTAAGAAAAGGGCTTGATTGGAGGGAGGAAAAAAGTGTGTGTCAGGAGTGGGATTTGAACCCACGCCCACATTCGTGGACCAGAACACCCGTATCTCCACTATGGGAGAAGGCCTGATGCAATACCTTGAGTCTGGCGCCTTAGACCGCTCGGCCATCCTGACAACGATGTTAAAAGTCATATCTTGACGCTTTTATAGTCACCCATGTATTCGTTGCCATTGATTTGATGTTGATACTCCCCCACATCCCTGCATATATTGGGGATAGAGTTTGAGCTATTAATTTCATTCCATCTGCGTTCTTGCCTCCTTCAAGCTTCTTATTTTCAATGCAACTGGTGTAATGGATGCACTCTTCATGTAACTCTCAATTGTCACGACGTTTTGACTTGCTGAGTAGTCTGCACACATTTCAGCGAATGATAATGCTGAATATTCAGGTTTTCGTCACATGCATAACTGAGGATGTTTGTGAGGATTAGGCTCTTTGCTTACAGATTCCATAATGACTTCGGTATATGTCAACTTGTCTCACTGGAGATTGGTGTGAGGAGACATATGTGGCTCTGCGGTTGAAATGAGTCTACACTTATATTCGGCATGTTACTGGCCACGACGCACGGTCAGCAAGGAGGAAGTATTTGATCAGTCAAGCGATTAAAGTGGTATTGATTTGAAACAAATGTGTCTTTTAAAACGACGATAAGTGTCAGGACCCGTGATAGCTCAGTTGGTAGAGCGGAGGACTGTAGTGGCAAAGCTGTAATTGGCAATCCTTAGGTCGCTGGTTCAAATCCGGCTCGCGGGACAACCTTTTGCTATTAATAACCAAATTTAATACCAAAATGTTCATGCCACTATTGACGCATTAAGACAGATAAGTATCTTCCAGAATGCACTCAATGAATGGATGCCTGCTATTAACCCGAAAGAACGCCAAATGCAAGTAAAATTAATAGCTTAAGAAAAGGGCTTGATTGGAGGGAGGAAAAAAGTGTGTCAGGAGTGGGATTTGAACCCACGCCCACATTCGTGGACCAGAACACCCGTATCTCCACTATGGGAGAAGGCCTGATGCAATACCTTGAGTCTGGCGCCTTAGACCGCTCGGCCATCCTGACAACGATGTTAAAAGTCATATCTTGACGCTTTTATAGTCACCCATGTATTCGTTGCCATTGATTTGATGTTGATACTCCCCCACATCCCTGCATATATTGGGGATAGAGTTTGAGCTATTAATTTCATTCCATCTGCGTTCTTGCCTCCTTCAAGCTTCTTATTTTCAATGCAACTGGTGTAATGGATGCACTCTTCATGTAACTCTCAATTGTCACGACGTTTTGACTTGCTGAGTAGTCTGCACACATTTCAGCGAATGATAATGCTGAATATTCAGGTTTTCGTCACATGCATAACTGAGGATGTTTGTGAGGATTAGGCTCTTTGCTTACAGATTCCATAATGACTTCGGTATATGTCAACTTGTCTCACTGGAGATTGGTGTGAGGAGACATATGTGGCTCTGCGGTTGAAATGAGTCTACACTTATATTCGGCATGTTACTGGCCACGACGCACGGTCAGCAAGGAGGAAGTATTTGATCAGTCAAGCGATTAAAGTGGTATTGATTTGAAACAAATGTGTCTTTTAAAACGACGATAAGTGTCAGGACCCGTGATAGCTCAGTTGGTAGAGCGGAGGACTGTAGTGGCAAAGCTGTAATTGGCAATCCTTAGGTCGCTGGTTCAAATCCGGCTCATGGGACAACCTTTTGCTATTAATAACCAAATTTAATACCAAAATGTTCATGCCACTATTGACGCATTAAGACAGATAAGTATCTTCCAGAATGCACTCAATGAATGGATGCCTGCTATTAACCCGAAAGAACGCCAAATGCAAGTAAAATTAATAGCTTAAGAAAAGGGCTTGATTGGAGGGAGGAAAAAAGTGTGTCAGGGTGGGATTTGAACCCACGCCCACATTCGTGGACCAGAACACCCGTATCTCCACTATGGGAGAAGGCCTGATGCAATACCTTGAGTCTGGCGCCTTAGACCGCTCGGCCATCCTGACAACGATGTTAAAAGTCATATCTTGACGCTTTTATAGTCACCCATGTATTCGTTGCCATTGATTTGATGTTGATACTCCCCCACATCCCTGCATATATTGGGGATAGAGTTTGAGCTATTAATTTCATTCCATCTGCGTTCTTGCCTCCTTCAAGCTTCTTATTTTCAATGCAACTGGTGTAATGGATGCACTCTTCATGTAACTCTCAATTGTCACGACGTTTTGACTTGCTGAGTAGTCTGCACACATTTCAGCGAATGATAATGCTGAATATTCAGGTTTTCGTCACATGCATAACTGAGGATGTTTGTGAGGATTAGGCTCTTTGCTTACAGATTCCATAATGACTTCGGTATATGTCAACTTGTCTCACTGGAGATTGGTGTGAGGAGACATATGTGGCTCTGCGGTTGAAATGAGTCTACACTTATATTCGGCATGTTACTGGCCACGACGCACGGTCAGCAAGGAGGAAGTATTTGATCAGTCAAGCGATTAAAGTGGTATTGATTTGAAACAAATGTGTCTTTTAAAACGACGATAAGTGTCAGGACCCGTGATAGCTCAGTTGGTAGAGCGGAGGACTGTAGTGGCAAAGCTGTAATTGGCAATCCTTAGGTCGCTGGTTCAAATCCGGCTCGCGGGACAACCTTTTGCTATTAATAACCAAATTTAATACCAAAATGTTCATGCCACTATTGACGCATTAAGACAGATAAGTATCTTCCAGAATGCACTCAATGAATGGATGCCTGCTATTAACCCGAAAGAACGCCAAATGCAAGTAAAATTAATAGCTTAAGAAAAGGGCTTGATTGGAGGGAGGAAAAAGTGTGTCAGGAGTGGGA